ATAATTTCTGAATTTTTTTGTCTTACTCTCTGCGAATTCGTATCTGTGGCTGCGAATCAATTTTTGTGGCTGAGAAACGTTACGCCAATATGAAAGATATATTGTGTAACATTTCATTCGATCATCCAATCAAATTAAAACCCGCTATGCTGTAGGGTAGAGTGTGTGGTGCTTATTCACGGTAGAATACGGTACCGTATTTTCGCGTAATAAAGCTCATGAGCGTTATTTAGAATAATGGTCCGAATTTGGGCCAAAATTTGAAATTACCCCCTGCGCGTTATTTCGCGAAAATACGGTACTTACAATATTAAGTATTTTGCAGATCAGTGATTTTTAAATCTATACTATATAGTTAATTTTAAAAATTGGCGCCTGTACTATACTTATCTGCTATAATTTCTACAATATTTAACGGATAAACAAAAACGTAGTGGGGCTTCAGGTGTAAAGAGAAAAAACAAACAAAAGACAAATTCCAGATAAATAATAAAAAGAAAAAACTGTCTTCAAGAAATCAGTTCAAACAAATATTTATATGCGTAAACAATCAAATTACGTACCAATCTGTATCACGGAAGCGAACAGACGCCTGCACTTCACTTATATCACGTGCAAATTATCAGTAAAAATAAAACTTTGAGCGAAGATATTTCGACAATCATATAACCAAATTCAATGAAGCCTTTTTATTTGAATTCTATCAAATCATAAAAATTCGAATAAAAAAAATTTTCATCGAATTTGGTCGGGTAATGTTGAGAAATCTTTGTTAGAGAAAAATCAAAACACGTATACCAAATTTTTTTTAAAACTTTGCTGACCAAATTCGATGAAAATTTTTTATTTGAATTCTATGGATTCATAGAATTCGAATAAAAATGTTCTCTTCAAGTTCGGTCAAATAGTTGTCGAGATATCTTCGTTCGGTGCAGCTTTTATTTTTATAGGTGTTCTAACTTTGAGCAAAGAAATCTCGACAGCTACTCGACCAAATTCAATGAAATTTTTTTATTCGAATTTATGAATCCAAGAATTCAAATAAAAAAAGCTTAATAGAATTTGGTTAGATGGTTGTCGAGATCAAAGTTTTGAAATTTTATATTTTTTACTAATAATTTGCACGTGATATACAGTCAAACCTTAGGAAAAAAATTGAAGTGTGCACTTAGCATTTATAGAGAGCAAAATATATACGATATAGAGCTCTTATAAGCTGGGACCGGACTATACCGTGCACTTAGAGAAAATTTACATAGTCCGTGCACTTAGGTATCAATCTAAGCCATAAGATGAATTTTTACAAATTTTTATATATTAAAATTCCCTCATACTGTATACTGTATAACTGTATAATGTATACCTTGTTAATTTCACTATCGCTATCAACATGAATTAAACCAATTCAAAGGGGTTGATATAAATAAGGTAGAGCTAAGTTATATGATTTCACATTTTATTATGATATATTTTATCTAAACATTGAAAAGATCATACAGTATAACCACAACCTCGCTTATTAGCGACTTTTAGAACTTCTTACTTATCAAACTATATCTTTTTATAGGTCTCAGTTTGACAAGTTGAATTCAACGCATGCCATCATTAAGTAAGACTCGACATAAAAAAGAGTATCTTATACACAAAGAACAGACAACCTAATAAAAAAATTATTTAAATATCTAGGCTCCGGACTCCAACGGTTCCGTTTCCTAGTGTTAATTAGAATATTATGATTTTACTGAAAATTTGAGTGAAAATTTCGTTTCTACGTTAGATTCCAAATTTTGCGAGATTCTATTTCGACGTACAGTACTCAACACTCAAAGCTATTATTACTACAAATGTGTCAAATCGTATAATTTACCCTATCGTACGTATGGGAGACTCTTGTTGGCAGTGGCGCTTCCCACGTGTTCCGTAATTTCATTGCCACCTTAGATGAATCGGATCTGCAAACCACTAATCACAGAACCTACTGTCGCGACTTTACACATTCCGTCTAGCAAATAATGCTCCCACCATTAATACCACCCTTCCGTTATGCTACCGTTGAAGACGAAGTATACCGCGGAGCATATCCCAAAAAACGAAATTACCGCTTTCTTAAAAGGTTTAACTTAGTACATTTCTTGAATTATTTTTGCATTACTTAACGCGGCTTAATCAATAAAATCTTCTAGACTTAAATTAAAAACAATGCTTTCTCTAACTCCCGATCCGCCAGTTCTCGAATTATTAGAATTCTGTCAATCTCAAAATATTCGTAATATTCATCTTCAAGTTAATAAAGTAAAGGATAATGTACCCTTAGGTTATAGTAGAGCTATTCAATCTGTACAAGTAAGACTTTAATTTTCTTTATAAACTTTATTAATTGTAAAATGTTTAATCATTAGCGAACTTATGTTCAAATAATGTAATTAGATAATTATAGATCCATCAAATCTACCAATATTTATTCATTGTTTAGATGGTGCAGATGTTACAGGCCTAGTCATTGCTTGCTTGCGAAAATTACAAATGTGGAGTATTCCTTCATGTATGAGTGAATTTCTTAGGTTAGGATTAATAATATAAAGTTACATTCCATATGGGCTGATTTATGGAATTGCTAATAACTTTTGATCTACTACTTCATTTTGAATAATTTTACTACCAAAATGTTCGTCTCGATGAGACGATTCTAATGAATCCAA